AAAATGAAATTAAATGAATAATATGATACAGTGTTTGGGTATCTACATTAAAAAATTCATGAGGGCTGGGGTTGTGGCTCAGTGGAGGAGTGTTTGCCTCACACATGTGAGGCACTGGGTTCAATCCTCAGCACCACATAAAAATAAATAAACAAAATACAGATATTGTGTCCATCTATAACTAAAAAAAAGTTTTGTTTTGTTTTTTAAATTCAGGAGAACCCAAATAAAAAACATAATGATGCATCTCAAAGTCTTAAAAAACAAGAAAAAGTCATACCTAAACCAACACAAGGAAAAAAATAATAAAGATCAGAGTCAAAATCAATGAAATAGAGACTAAAAGAACATTACAAAGAATCAATGAAACAGAGTTTGTTCTTTGAAAAGATAAACAAGATTGATAAACTCTTAGTCAAACTAAACAAAAGAAAGAGAAGACCCAAATTAATAAAATTAGAGATGAAAAGATGATATTACAACCGATACTACTGAAATCCAAAGGATCATCATGGATTATTTTAAAAAACTATATTCCAACAAACTGGAAAGCTTAGAAGAAATGGATAAATTTATAAAAATATTCAACCTACCAGAATTGAACCAAGAGAATATAAAATTCCTAAGAGACCAATAACAATGAGATTAAAGCAGTTATAAGTAGTCTCCCAACAAAGATCCAGATGGATTCACTGACAAATTTTAGCAGAACTTTCAGGAAAAATTAATATCAAAGCTCCTCAAACTATTCTATGAAACACAAAGTGAAGGAATGCTTCCAAACTCATTCTATGAAGCAAGTATCAAAATGAAATCATAACTAGATGATGACTGAACATCAACAAAGAACATTAATGACCAATGATAGACATAGATGCAAAAATCCTCCATAAAATACTTGCTAATTGAATTCAATGACATACTAAAAGATAACACACCATGATTGAGTTGATTTCATTTCATGAACGCAAGGATTACAAACAGGAAAAAGGAAGTCAAGTTATTCCTATTTGCAGATTTTATAGTCCTAAATTTAGAAAACCCTAAAAATCTTGACCAGAAGACTTTTAGATCTGATAAACAAATTCAGCAAAGTGGCAGATACAATATGTACAAAAATCAATAGATTTTCTGTACATCAATAACAAATACTGAGAAAGAAATCAGAGAAACAGTTCCACTCACAATAGGTTAAAATAATACTCAGGAATAAACCTAGCCAAGAAGGTGAAAGATATCTACAATGAAAATTACAGAGCACTGTAAAAAGAAATTGAAGAAGACACCAGAAGATGAAGCAATCCCTCATCTTCACGGATTAGAAAAGTGAATACTGTTAATATGTGTATAATACTGAAAGACAACTACAGATTAAATGCAATCCCCATCAAAATGCCAATTCCATTCTTCACAGAACGTGAAAACAAAACTGTAAAAATTCTTATGGAAGAATAAAAGACTCAGAGTAGCTAAAGCCATCCTGAGCAACAACAGCAATGCTGGAAGTATCACAATACCAGATATCAATATATTACAAAGCCATTATAACAAAAACAGCATGGTATTGGCTTAAAAACAAACATGTAGATCAATGGAATAGAACAGAGGACATAGAATTGAACTCACACAGCTACAGTCTTCTGGTTCTTGATAAAAGTGCCAAAAACATACATTGGAGAAGACAACTTTTTTAACAAATGGTACTGGGAAAACTGGATCTTCATAGTAGAAGATTGAGACTAGACCCCTAACTTTCACTCTGTACAAAAACTAATTCAAAACAGATCAAAGATTTGAGTATAAGACTTGAAACTTTGAAAATACTAGAAGAAAAAACGGGGGAACTCTCCAAGATGCAGGCACAGTCAACATGTCCTGAATAAGACTTCAAATAGCTCAGAAAATAATAGCAAGAATTGACAAATGGAATTGCATCAATTAAAAAGCTTTTTGCACAATAAAGGAAACAATAGAGTGAAGAGACAGGTTACATAATGGAAGAAGAATCTTACTTAATCTTCTGACAGAGGACTAATATCCAGAGTATATAAAGGTCTCAAAAAAGTTAATACCAAAAAAGAAAAAAAAAAAAAAAAAGGAAATAACCCAATCAACAGACAGGTAAATGAATTGAGCAGACACTTCTCAAAAGAAGAAGTAAAAGTGGCCAGTAATTTTATAAAAAAATATTTTATAAAAATGTTCAGCATCTTTAGACATTAGGGAAATGCAAATCAAAAGTACACTGAGAGTCCATCTCACCCGGCTCAGAATTACTATCTTCAAGAATACAAACAAACAAACAAAAACAAAACAATAAATGCTTCCAAGAATGTGGGGGAAATCCCTCATATACTGTTGGTGGGAATATAAATTAGTAAAGCTGCTATACAAATCAGTATGGAGCTTCCTCAAAAAGCTAAAAATAGAAGTTCTGCATGATCTGGATATACTACTATTCAGTGTATACCTGAAGGAATTAAAGTCCGAATACTATAGAATTACCTGCATACCTGCGTTTACTGTGGCACAGTTCACAAATAGCCGAGTTATGAGATTAGTCTAGGTGCTGGTTAACTGATGAACAGATTTTAAAAATGTGGCACATATGCACACAATGAAGTATTATTCAGTTATAATGAAGAATAAGTCATGTCAATTTCAGTAAAATGGATGGAACTAGATATAAATATGCTAAGTAAAATAAGCCAAACTCAGGAAGACAAATATTGAAAGTTTTCTCTCATATGTGGAATCTGGGATGGGGTGGGGAAGATGACATCGAAGTAGAAAGGAGACTATTTAAAAAAAGGAAAGGAACAGGGGGCAGGGAAGAGGTGGGTAAAGAGGAGACAATAAAGGCATGGAAATGATTAAAATGTGCTATATGCCATAATAAAACTATTATTCCAAATAACTAATGTGCACTAATAAAAAATGAAAGTTGCCATGCTGGAATGGATATACCAGGTGAAGCCAGAACTAACCAAAGGATTATGTTCTTTAGGAGGATCCAGAAGATAACTATTAACCAAAGCTACCAGAAATGTGTTGGTGAGAAGCAAATTAGCATCATCAAAAGTTCAATATTTATTTTCTCTGTAAGCTAGGTTTGACAGTAGAAGAGATGGTCATACAAGGAAGCCATTATAACACATAATTCAGCTAATTCTCACTGACTTCTTTTGTGTACCTAATAAATTCCATTATTTGACTAGAAAGCACTTAGAACAGTGGTGGAAAATATTGAGCTCTATACAAATTTTGCCATTATAATTATATTACTATTTTCTTGAATTAAAATAAGTAATTGGATTTTAATAAAATTTCAGTAGCAAAAAAAAAAAAAAAAAAAGATCATTAGTTTCCATGGTGTCTTTTCCCATTACAAAGTAATAGAAGCCAGATTTTAACCATGAAAAGCCAGGAAGCCACAATTACCACAATGACTAGGAGGGTCAGAGAGCAACCAAAAAGACTTGATCATGGAGAGTTGTAGAGATAGTTAATAGATGGGCAGCCAAATAAGTTTAATATTGTTCATAATCCTTTAGTGTTCTTTTTGTTTCCTTCCAAAAAATTATGCTTAATTCAAAGGCATAATTTACAAAGATATTCTCATGCTTTCTCCTATCAGTTTCATGGTATTGATTTTATATTCATTTCAATTAATTTTTGTATACAATGTGCATAAAAATATGCCCATTAAGGAAGATTTTTTTAATAGCTATGTTAAACCAATTAGCCCTCAACATAAGTGTATAAGACTTGCAAAACACTGAAGAAAATTTCATTAGTAAAATTATATTCAATATGTTGAATTTATAAATACATTATTACTTATACACTTATACTAACTATATAAGATCACTCACATTAGATAATGTAAGTGCAAACACTATGAATGAAATTTTTAAATATTATATCACATAAATGTATAGAATGATAGGAAACTTAAATTAAAATGCACCAAGACCATATTCATTCAAGAATAGTGGCTATTACTGAAAAAAAATACATGCACCTATTTTATGGTACTTTAGAATTCACTAAATTAAAAATAAACTTACCTATAAGCACCAAAAAACCAAATAATCCAATCAATAAATAGGCCAAGGACCTGAACAGACACTTCTCAGAAGAGGATATACAATTAATCAACAAATACAAGAAAAAATGCTCATAATCTCTAGCAATCAGAGAAATGCAAATTAAAACTACTCTAAGATATACCATCTCACTCCAGTAAGAGTGGCAGCCATTATGTAGACAAATAACAAAAAGTGCTGGCGAGGATGCGGGGGAAAAAGGTACACTCATACACTGCTGGTGTGACTGCAAATTGGTGCAGCCAATTTGGAAAGCAGTATGGAGATTCCTTGGAAAACTGGGAATGGAACCTCCATTTGACCCAGCTATTCCTCTTCTCGGACTACACCCAAAGGACCTAAAACCAGCATATTACAGGGACACAGCCACATCAATGTTTATAGCAGCACAATTCACAATAGCTAAACTATGGAGCCAACCTAGATGTCCTTCAATGGATGAATGGATAAAAAAATGTGGCATTTATACACAATGGAATATTACTCATCAATAAAAAAGAATAAGATCATGGCATTTGCAGGGAAATGGATGGCATTAGAGAAGATTATGTTAAGTGAAGTTAGCCAATCCCCCCCAAAAAAAACCAAATGCCGAATGTCTTCTCTGATATAAGGGGGGTGACTCAAAATGGGGTTGGGAGGGAGAGCAAGGGAGGAAGATTACCTCTAGATAGGGAATAGGGGTGGGAAGGAAAGGAAGGGAGAAGGGGAATAGCATGGATGGTGAAAGGAGATCCTCATCATTATACAAAATACATGTATGAAGATGTGAATTTGGTGTCAACATACCTCATATATAATCAGAGATATGATAAATTATTGTATAATGGTGTATTAAGAATTGTAATGCAAAAATAAATAAATAAACAAGTAAATAAAAAATAAACTTACCTTTTTTCTGCATATCCTGATAAAGTTTGCTTATTTCTATCTTATGTTCCTTCCCTTTGATTTTCATTTCATTCACAAGTTTAGCAATATTATTCTTATATTCCTAGAGATTAAAATATTTATTCATTTTTCAATCTAAATATGTATGCATAACTTTTGATTAACTGGAAAACAGCAACTTTTAGTTCATATTTATTTTGATATGTAGTCATATCCAGAATGGAAAAATATTGTCCATCGTTTGAATAATTAGCTGTGACACAGACCAATTTCTTCATGTGTATGCATTTTAATTTTTTAATTGACAAAAATTATATACAGTGTATGACCTGTTGTTTTTATATATATGCTCATGGTGAAATGACAAAATCAAGCATATATATATATATATATATATATATATATATATATATATAAACCTCATATTTTTTGTGGCAAGAACATTTGAAATCTACTCTCTTGTATATAATACATTGTTACTAACTACAATCACCATGCTGTACAATATATCTATTGAACCAAAATCTTGTATCCTTTGACCAGCAGCTACCCAGTCATAGCTTACTCTTTAGCATTCCTCCCCCAACACTCAAAGCCCCTGTTAACCACCACTGTACTCTCTGCTTCTATAAGTACTACAATAAACATCAGTATCTGACCCAAGAAGATGAAGATCATTCAGAAACAATGTCTTATCTTTGCTTCCTGAATACACCTGATCAATGTTTAGCATATCATGTATGCTCAAAATAACTGACTTAACTGTATGATTAAATGGCACTGCAATATTAAATAAAATATATGTCCACTATAATCCAGAGCTAAACTTTAGAATTAACAGAAGGTACTGTCTGATAGATTGTAAATTTACTCTAATATAGGGTCTGGACTGAACTTCTATTTCTGAAAATTATATAAACATTTCTAATTTCCAGAAAAGATTAAAAACCCATGATAAGCATTAACTTTGTGAGAAAGTATCCAGAGAAAGATGGATTTGAGATTTGAAAATTCCCCAATGGCTATGGAGATTGGCTTCTTAGGTCACAGAAACATAGGGGTAATTTATTATTATAACAAGGAGTAGAGCAAAGAGTACATTTTGGGAGAAAATTCCCCAAAATGAATTTAACAATTTTCCAGGTGTATTGTCCTATATAAAGAAACAAGGGCTGGGTGTGGTGGCACACACCTGTAATCCCAGCAGCTTGGGAGGCTGAAACCAGTAGGATAGCGGGTTCAAAGCCAGTCTCAGCAACAGTGAGGTGCTAAGCAACTCAGTGAGACCCTGTCTCTAAATAAAATACAAAATAGGGCTGGGGATGTGGTTGAGTCTCCCTGAGTTCAATTCCCAGTACGGGGTGGGCGGGGGGGGGGGGGGGGGAAGAAACAAGGGACAGGCCTAAGATGTAGGCAAGAAAAAAGGAAAGCAAAAAATAACAAAAATTAAGTAGGATAGTTGAAAAAAGACAATAGAGGCAAAAAGTCAAGAAAAGTCTCTAAACATCATAAAATCGGACACTGGGACTCACCATTGTATTCCCAACTCCTTGCATGAATCTATCTATCTATCTTTTTTTTTGGGGGGGGGGGGGGGGGTGCTGGAGATTGAAACCAGGGCCTTGTGCATGCAAGGCAAGCACTCTACCAACTGAGCTATATCCCCAGCCCATCTATCTATATCTTGATATTTATTTGCTGAATAAAGGCAAATCCCAGTAAGTATTATGTAGGACAGATCTCTTAACTAGACCCAGCTTTCCAGAGTCCATCAATTTTCTGAAATTTCATGCCAAATTTCTGTGTGTGTGTGTGTGTGTGTGTGTGTGCACGCACACACACATGAACACAAAGCACGTTTGCCTTTGAGCATTTTCCCCAGAAAGGATTCATAGCTATTAATAGACATTCAATGGTATTGAGAAAGTAAAACTAAACAACAACATCATCACAAAAAGGTGTACTAAATTGTGTGTCTGTAATTAAAAATAGACATACATTCTTCTATATTACTTTCATTTAAGAGACATAGTCTAGATTGCTATTTGTGTTACTTAACCTATCATGCAAATTACAGAAATGGCCAAACCTACTCAACTTCTTGGCTCTGATTAAAGCTGGGCAGGTGAATATAGGGATGAATCTCACAAAGTACCACTTTCATATACATATATCTAGATTTCTAGATGAGCAACTAGAAAAGCTAGAGTGGATTTTATAAACTACACTGATTGCACTAAGTCATTTCTGCCCTGAAAAACCACAAAAGAAAATTCTGTGTTCCTTTCCATTCCCACTGACTTTGCCATCTGAATACACTGCCACTAAAGTGGAATGCATCCATTAATTTGGTAAGACAGTTTTTCACTCCATCTTTCAGGCAAAAAGAAAGCCACATTTCTGGGATAATCTGGGCTATATTTCAGTAGGTTCTTCTCCCTCATTTTAGCTTGTCTCATTCCTTCTTTTTTTTTTACCAAGCCCAAATAAATTATAATTTATTGATTTTTTTTCTCATTTGTTTCTGGGAACTTTACATCCCCCCAAATAATCTCTAGTTGCTTTCTTGTTTTAAGGATTTTCTGTATGTAAATTACAAAAATCTTCCCAATCTCACAAATATTGCCATGAAGTACCCCCAGAGTGTGTTTCTAGGGAATGGTTATCTCTGAGTTATTAATGTGCCCCTAATGGTTTTGTACTAGTGAATCCTCATGGGATGGAGGTCATTTTATTTATTTATTTATTTTTTAGCTTGCTTTGGACAGCAGATAATTAAGAAATCCAAAATCTTGTGTTGTGGTGTATTCTCATTAGTTTCCAGCTCTCTGCAAAAATTCCTGTAGTATTCAAGATAAAGCATTTTTCTAGAACTTAAAGTTATAGAAGGAAAAGGAGGCAAGTTCCTCTCCCTTTTTCTTCCTGCTGTAATTACAGTCTGACTTCCTGTCTATTTTGAGCTCTAGAGTCAAGATATGAAAGGGATCAAGCAAAAATAAAAGGAGGAGGGAAAAGGGAGGCAGGAGAAACATTAGACAGCCCAGAGATACTTAAACTATCTCAAAGTTGGTGATGAAAAGCTAAATTTTCCAAGAGCATAGTGAGAATGCTTTTTATTTACTGGTTTTACTCAGAAGTCTTGAGCAGTTTCTAGAGCTAGCTTGGTTTCTTCTTCTCACATGAGACTGAGTTTAGAGACGATCTTTCAAACTGAACCCTGCTTCAGATCCAACTTGAATTTTAGAGATCTAAAATCTTCCAGAATTTAATATATTTGCTCTTGGAGATGAGAAAGTTAACGTAATAAATTTCCCTGAAGGAAGAGGAATAACAACTGGCATATATTAAACACTTTTTATGTTTTTTAAGTACTATATTACATGTTCTGCAATTGCCATCACTAGATTGTTCCTGTAGGAGAGAAGGAAGTATAGCAGAGGGTATGGTAGCCCTTGGGAGAGAATTAATTTGTAATTCACATAAAATGCAGCCCTTATTTGAATGTTGTAATGATTACCCAAGGAGAACAGACTTACTTACTTTATAATGGAAAACTTTAAAAATGTTAATAGAGTATATTCTAAAGATTCCATTAACAAAATTGAAAAATGTATAGCAAATAACAGGCTCTTTTGGGTACAAATAAAAAGTAATATGAATGCTATATTAGTATATTCTACTTTATAAAAAGACTAGAATTCTCAAAACACATTATTTTTAAAAGAAGTTTTCATTTATTAAAGATTTTGGCAAGTAAAATACGTATACCTATGTCATATACACATATACACAAATTTTTGGCTGGTTTATTAATAAAGTAATCTCTTTTTCTAATTTAAATAAACAAATGCTCCATAAGGACTTGATTTAATGCAATTATATATAAACTCACCAGTTCATGAGATTTTAACTTCTCTTTTATAAGGTCAGCATTTCTTTTTAATTGTTCATTCTCACCTGTATAAAAATAAATAATATCCTAATATATAGCAATTTTTAATTAATATGCAAATATGCTTAATATTTTAGTTTCCATTCACATATGTATTCAACAAATATGTATCTATTACTGTACTAGATACTAGGAATATAGAAGAGTGTCTTGCTCTTCACAGAGCTTACACACTAATGGTGAGAGAGATGTATAAATAGTTACCACATACTATGACTACTGTTCTTACAATAGCATTGAGTCTCAAATACTGTGAGGACCTGTGGAAGAAAGACTTATATCAATCAGCTTGAAGTAAGGAAAGGTTTTGGAGAAAATGAACCACCTAAGATGAGATTTAAGTGGTAAGGCTTATTTCCTGCTATGGAAGGGCATTCTAGACATAGAACACTGAGCAGGAGACAATGGACTTGAGAGAGAGCCCAGCATGCTTAGAAAAACACAATTGAAGTACAGGATTGTTTAAGTACAAAGTGTGAGAAGAAGGTGCTATATAGGTCAGGAAATATCGACGAGGTAGACATAACTCTATGAATGCCTTTGGTGTATTATCATAGAATTCATTATAGAATTTTGAACATTGAAGAATTGAAATAATTATAGTTGCATGCTAAAAAAATTATCTGGCAATGTAGATAATATATGGGAAACCTAAATTAGGTTAGGGGTTAGTACAGAAAAATAGGGAGGGGCAATGAGAAGGACTATTTAGATGGTAGAATTACTAGGGAATTCAGTGACTTTGGATAGGGTAGACAAAGAGAAAGGGAGAATTTTTACCTTTTAGGCTTCTGATTTGGATAACTGAAAATAATACCTAATAGCTAATGACTTTCTGGACAGATTAAAACACTCTAGCTAATTCTGATCACTAAGCATTCAGATAATTTAAAATTCAAATTTCCTATTTGATTGAAAATTTTTATGACCCTTATCACTGTCTAGAAGGACTCATGGAAGTGATAAAGGAGTCTTAGTTTGCCTTTTAATTGCTTTTTCTATCTTTTTTCTGGGTCTATCTCTTGGGATTTAGAAGCAAGAAACAGAGAGATGTGAAAAATTATCTAATTAACTTTATATCTGTTAGAGTGGCTATTACCAGAAAGATGAAAGATAGCAAACAAGTGTTGGCAGGAATGTGAAGAAAAGGGAATTTTACATAGAAATGGTAAATTGGTACAGCCATTATGAAAAACAGTATGGTGGTTCCTAAAAATATTAAAAATAGTACTACCATATGATATAGCAATCTTTCTTCTGGGTATATATTAAAATAAAATGAAGTAAGTATACCAAAGAGATATTTATACTTTCATATTTATTTCAGTATTATTCACAACAGCCACAAATAAAAATAACATAAATGTCTGACAATAAATGAATGGACTTTAAAAATGTGATTAATAGGATATTATTCAAACTTAAAAAAGAAATAAATCAGGTGTTGGAGATGTAGCTTAGTGGTAAAGTTTGGTTTATCAGCATGGGAGCCCTGGGTTGATCCCCCGTACCACAAATCAAAAATAAAAAATAACTTGACATAATATTATATGTCAAATCTTCAAGTTGTATACTTTAAATACATACAATTTTTAATTGTCAACTTTATCCCAATAAAATTAGGAAAAACCCCTGTATCACTATATCTTTGAAAAGATGGTATGCTTGACTAGTGATCAGTATTTGATATCTTTTTACAAAAAGAAACAACATTTAGCCAGGTGCGGTGGTGCACGACTATACCCCAGTGACTCAGGAGGCAAGGCAAGAGGATCATAAGTTAAAGCCAGCCTCAGCAATTTTATGAGGCCCTAAGCAACTTAGCAAGACCCTGATTCAAAGTAAAACATGAAAAGGGCTGGGGATGTTGCCCAATGGTTAAGTGCTCCTGGTAACCAAAACAATAACACTCCAAAACCAAACCAAAACAAAAACACCAACAACAAGACCCCCCCAAAAGCAAACCAACCAAACAAAACAAAGAAACATTTAATATATTCAAAATTGATTTCACAGAACTTCAAACAAATCAACTTAAATAGAATAAAATCCTGAGAAAAGTTAAATGCCATTTGATTCCTAGAATAAGAGGCTGGAAAAGGTTATGAATTTTCACACTTATTTAACATAGCTGGGTGTCATATTTCTGTCATGAAGAAAAGTTGTTCAGAGTCTTCAGCATTAAGATAATGGCATGAACTGTCCCATTTTAAAGGAAAAAAATGCGGGGAGAGTAAGAACTAATAGTATTTCTTAAATAAATTTAAAATAAATTTAAAAATTACAAGGACAAAAAAGAAATAACATGACAAAGTAAAAAGATGACATATAAGATCAATATTTTACCATATTTACATATATAAGTACTTCCTTTGAGGATAAAAACTGAGGTCTATGATAAGAAATGCTTATTTGACCTGATTTTATGTTGGAAGATGCCTTTAAGGAATTTAGTTTAATATCTGATATAGTAAAGGAAAATCTGTCATTGCATAGTGGAAACAGAACAGTATAAACACTTGGTCACTCTGTTTTGTGAATGTTAGGCCTATTGGGTTAATGTAACTATTAAGTATAGAATAAACTGTGTTGGTTTCACCTGCACTAATATAGTCTTAGTCTTATAACAAAATATCAAATGGCAAGCTATCACAGTAGTTTGAATAGACCATTCATGGTTAAACTAATAAATATTCACCCTTCAAAATTGGTTATTAAAAAACAAGAGTGGCACTGAGAGGAAATAATTGGCCTTCTGTATCTATGGGCTCCCCGTAGATTCAACCAAATATGGACCCAAAGTGTTAAAAACCAAAATTGTGTCTGTACTGAATATGCATAGATATTTCTTATCATTATTCCCAAAATAATGCAGTATAACTATATAACACTTTACACTGTGTTAGGTATTACAATCTAGAGATGATTTAAAGTACTGGGGATAAAAATAGGTTGTATGCAATACTATGCTATTTCTATATAAAGAACCAGAGCATTCACATACTTTTGGTATCTACAAGGATCCTGAAATCATTCATCAATGGATATGGAGGAACAACTGTGTACTTACAAACATTTGAAAGTAATAAAAGAACTCATGTGATCAATTAGAAAACATTTCTGGATGTCTTTGTCAGAATATGACTGAATTGTTCTGTTTAGCATAGCATTTCTTTTCTTTTTTAAAAAAACTATTTTCCCTAGTTGTAGTTGGACACAACACCTTTATTTTATTCATTTATTTTTTTTATGTGGTGCTGAGGATTGAACCCAGTGCCTTGCACGTGCTAGGTCAGTGCTCTACTGCTGAGCCACAACCCCAGCTCCAGTATAGCATTTCTTATTTCATAATCATTTAGGAAAGTATTTTTAAGTAGTAAAAAGTCTTGGTTTTAGTTGATGAATTGAATAACAACAAAAGGCACTTGTCAACAATGTAAAAAAACTCTAATTTTAAAGAGGCTCAAACAAATCATAAATAAATTTCAAAATAAATTTAAAAATAAGATTTCCTCCCCTAACTTACCTTTCAAATTGTGTTGATATTCAAGGGTCTGTTGTAGCCCTTTTATCATATTATGAAGAGTAGCACATTCTAAAACATAAAAGGTAAATTTGAAAATCCTTTGCTTTCATTTTGGAATTATTCTCTTTATTGAAATAATTAAAACAAAATAACATTTAATTGAAAATTATGAAATTTTAATAAAACAATCAGGCCTCTCAAAGTAAATTACATATAATACTTTCTAATATCCCTTTGAGTTAAGTGAATTCCAAGATTCAGTAATGTGTTTTCTGAGGCATAATATATTAGAGATCCTCTTATAAGCATTAGCAATATCTATCCTGAAAGTAAGTACATATCCTCCCCAAAAGAGAGCCAAATTATATTGTTCACAGGTAAAGGGCTAGTGAGAAGGTGCGAGATGTGGCTTTTCTTACTCACTGTCTTCCAACGTGTCCTCTTAATACTCATGCCCAGGTCTCAGGGCAAGACACAGCAACATAAAAGGATTAAAGACTCAATGATAGTGTTAACAAGGCATTGGAAACTTTGATGCCAATGGTTTCTGACATAATGGAAGATGGATGGACCCTTCATTGCAAAAGTTAGAGCCCTGATGTGTGTATCCAAACCTTGATCATACTCTTGGTTTCCACCACCAACAGCTACACCTTTGATGTGGAGGAACAGTGGTAGAAATTTCTGTGACTTTAGCATTCCACTTAGTTATAAGCTCCATGATAACAGGAACTATTTTTTGTTTTTCTTACCATTTCCCCATGGAATTTAGAATAGTAGTGGCCCATGTATGCAATCCACAAGTATTTTTTAGGTGATAGATGGATAGATCAGTAAGCTGAAACAGGACAGGGATAAGTGAAAATGCTCTGGCCAGAAAATAGTATCCATTTTTATTGTCTAAATATAAGAAGGGAAAATACAAATTTTTCACTTTCCAATTAGAGTTTCTACATTCAGGATCCATGTACTTTTTTTAACTGTGCTGTCAGAAATGAAAGTATTTTGCAAAATTAAAAGCTTTATTCAGATATTAGGTTCTACTCTTGTAGCTTTTCACTGCATACCGCCTTCCCTGTTGTACTTATCACCCATTCAGACAAAATTGTCACCATCCTCCATTTTCTCTACTTTGCTGTTTCCCCGTATTAGAATGATAATTAAATTACATTTGATAGACATTAGCTGAGAACCTACTTCACATGTTACTATGCTAGCTACTATAATTACAAAATAAGTGATACTTTTTGCCATTACTAGTTCTTGTGTCTTTTACTATAATGAATTCAGCAATTCATAAAACATGGTAGCTAAATTTACTTCCGTAAGCAGTAAATTGAAAACCAAGCCCTGTAACTGAAAGTACACTGGATTTTCTTAAAATAAAATGTGCTTTCAAAATTTGAACACAAGGTGGCTCTCTTACCAAATTTTTTTCTACAATGGAAACTGGCTCGAAGAGGAATTATTCATAAGGTAAAATAACACTCGGTAACTTGGAATAATGGTGTTTTAGTGAGTTTTTTTTGTTTTTGTTTTTGTTTTTTGCCACTGTGACAAAAGACCTGACAAGAACAATTAGAGGAGGAAAAGTTTATCTGCGGCATAGAGTTTCAGTCTACAGAAGGCTAACTCCATTGCTCTGGACCTGAGATATGGCAGAACATCATAGTAGAAAAGCACTACCTAGGAAAGCAGCTTGGAATATAGCAGCAGGAAGCAGAGAGAGACTAAGTTAGACTCAACAAGGACAAAAGATATACCCCAAAGGCATGTCCCCAGTGACCCACCTCCTCCAGTTACACCCTACCTGCTTATAGTTATCACCTAGTTAATCCATTCAAGTGGATTAATGTATTGATTAGGTTAAGGCTCTAAAATCCTAATCATTTCACCTCTGAGTTGTCTAGTATTGTCTCACAATGATCTTCTGGGGGACACCTCATATCTGAACCACAACAAATGGCTTTTAATTTTCTTTGCAAACCTTAACCCACATTGTCTTTTGTGTTAGCCTTTATTTTGTAATTTAAAAATTAGTGTACTATTAAATTTTGCTAAAAATTTCACAATATTATGTTATTTCTCATATAATTTAATAATCATTAATAATTTAATAATCATTTTGTGCTCAAATTTAGGCTCTATCATTAATTAGCAATTTGGAACTATTACGTGCAATTAAAACACTAGTATATTTCAATTTCATTGATTTCAGTTCTGATTTTAATTATTTCCTGTCTTCTGCTTTGGGTGTTGATTTGTTCTTCTTTTTCTAGGGTTGTGAGACGTAATATTAGATCATTTATTCATTGACTTTCTATTATTTTAATAAATGAACTCAAAGCAATGAACTTTCTTCTTATTACTGCCTTCATAGTGTCTCAGAGATTTTTATATGTTGTATCAGAGTTCTCATTTACCTCTAAGTAATTTTTTATTTCATCCTTGAATTCTTCTGCTATCCATTTGTCATTCAATAGCATATTATTTAGTCTCCAGGTATTGAAGTAGCTTCTACTTTTAATTTTATCATTGATTTCTACTTTCATTCCATTATGATCTGATAGAATGCAGGGTAGTATCTCTATTTTTTTGTATTTGCTAAGAGTAATTCATCACATCAATGACTTAAAGACAAGAATCATATGATCATCTCACTTGATGCAAAAAAAAAAAAAAAGGATTTGAAAACAAATAACCCAATCAATAAATGGGCCAAGGAACTGAACAAACATTTCTCAGAAGATATACAATTAATCAACAAATATATGAAAAAATGTTCAACATCTCTAGCAATCAGAGAAATGCAAATCAAAACTACTCTAAAATTTCATCCCACTCCAGACAGAATGGCAGCTATTAAGAACACAAACAATAATAAGTGTTGGCGAGGATGTGGGGGAAAAGGTACACTCATACATTGCTGGTGGGACTGCAAATTGGTGCAGCAAAATCTGGAAAGAAGTATGAAGAATACTTGCCAAACTGGGGATGGAACCACCATTTGACCCAGCTATCCTTCTCCTCAATCGACACCCAAAGGACTTAAAAAAAGCATATTATAGGGACACAGCCACATCAATGTTTATAGCAGCACAATTCACAATACCTAAACTGTGGAACCAACTTAGATGCCCTTCAGTAGATGAATGGATAAAGAAAACGTGGTATATATACACAATGGAATATTACTCAGCAATAAAAGAATAAAATCATGGCATTTGCAAGTAAATGGGTTAAGTTAGAGAATATAATGGTAAGTGAAGTTAGCCAATCCCCCAAAACCAATGCTGAATGTTTTCTCTGATTTAAGGATTCTGATTCATAATGGGGTGGGGGGGGCATGGGAAGATTAGATGAACTCTAGATAGGGCAAAGGGTAGGGAGGGGAATTGAGGGGGCATGGGGGTAGGAAGACGGTGGAATGAGATGGACATCATTACCCTAAGTACATGTATGAAGACACGAATGGTGTGAATATACTTTGTGTACAACCAGAGAGATGAAAAATTGTGTTCTATATATGTAATATGAGTTGTAATGCATTCTGCTGTCATACATAACAAATTTAAATTTAAAAAAGCATTTGACAAAATATAGCACCCGTTCATGTTCAAAACACTAGAAAAACTATGGATAGTAGGAACACACCTCAACACTGTAAAAGTTATCTACGCTAAACCCAAGGCCAACATCATTTTAAATGCAGAAAAATTGAAAGCATTCCCTCTAAAAACTGGAACAAGACAGGGATGCCCTCTATCACCACTTCTATTCAACATAGTCCTGGAAACTCAGCCAGAATAATTAGACAAATGAAAGAAATTAAGGGGATACAAACAGGAAAAGACAAACTCAAACTATCACTATTTGCAGACAACATCTTATATATTTAGAAGATCCAAATGATTCCACCAGAAAACTTCTAGAACTCATAAATGAATTCAGCAAAGTAGCAGGATTTAAAATCAACACCCATAAATCAAACATGTTCCTGTACATTAGTAATGAATTCATTGAAAGAGAAATGAGGAAAACTACCCCATTCATAATAGCCTCAAAAAAAGAAAAATACTTGGGAATCAACCTAGCAAAAGAAGTAAAAGACTTTGTCAATGAAAAGTACAGAACACTATAAGAAAAAAAAAATTGAAAAAGCTTAGAATATGGAAAGATCATGGTCAATTCTGCCTCCCCAAGAGCACAGGTAGAATTAATGTTGTCAAAATGACCATGCTAGCAAAATCATTATACAGATTTAATGCAATTCCTATTAAAATCCCAATGACATTCTTCATAAAAATAAAAAAAAGCAATCATGAAATTCATTTGGAAAAATAAGAGACCCAGAGTAGCCAAAGCAATCCTTAGTGAAAAATGTGAAGCAGGAGGCATCACAATATAGATATTAATACTAAAAAGCCATAGTAAAAAAAAAAAAAAAAAGGAATGGTATTGGCACCAAAACAGACATGAAGACCATTAGTACAGAATAGAAGATACAGAGACAAACCCATATAAATACAGTTATCTCATCCTAGACAAAGGCACCAAAAACATTCACTGGAGAAAAGAACTGGAAATCCATATGTAACAAAATGAATTAAACCCCTATCTCTCACCCTTCTCAAAACTCAACTCAAAGTGGATCAAAGACTAGAAGGCACTAGAAGAGAGATCCTGCACTAAAAAATAGGCCCATATCTTCACCATGTCGGCTTAGGAACTGACTTCCTTAAAAAGACTCCTAAAGCGCAAGAAGTAAAATCAAGAATTAACACATACAATGGATTCAAGCTAAAAAGCTTCTTCTCTGGGCTGGGGATGTGGCTCAAGCGGTAATGCGCTCGCCTGGCATGCGCGGGGCGCTGGGTTTGATCCTCAGCACCACATAAAAATAAAATAAAGATGTTGTGTCCACCGAAAATTGAAAAATAAATATTTAAAATAAATAAATAAAAAGCTTCTTCTCAGCAAAGGAAACAATCAATAATGTGAAAAGAGAGCCTACAGAATGGGAGAAAATCTTTACCATCTGCACCTCAGACAGAACCTCAACCTCCAGGATATATAAAGAACTCAAAAAACTTAACAACAAAACAAATAACCCCATCAATAAATGGGCTAAAGAACTGAACAGACACTTCACAGAAGAAGAAATACAATTGATCAACAAATGTATAAAAAAACGTTTAACATCTCTAGCAATTTCATCGCACTGTAGTCAGAATGGCCATTTTCAAGAATACAAGCTGGGGCTGGGATTGTGGCTCAGCTGTAGAGTGCTCGCCTAGCAAGGGCAGGACAAGGGTTCGATCCTCAGCACCACATAAAAAAATAAAGGCATTGTGTTGTGTCCATCTACATCAAAAAATAAAAATTATATATATATATATATATATATATATATATATAATACAAGCAACTATATAAATGTTGGCAAAGATGTTGGGGGGAAAAGGTACATTCATATATTGCTAGTGGGACTGCAAAATGGTGCAACCACTCTGGAAAGCAATATGGAGAGTCCTCACAAAACTTTAAATGAAACTAGCTTTTCACCCAGTTAATCCACTCCTTGTTTTATACCCAAAGGACTTAAACTCAGCACACTACAGTGCACCGCCACATCAATGTTTATTGAAACTCAATTCACAATAGCTAAACTATGGAAGCAACTTAGATGCCCTTCAACAGATTAATGGATAAAAAAAAATGTGGTATACATACACAATGGAATATTACTCAGCCTTAAAGAAGAAAGAAATTACGGCATTTGTCAGTAAATGGATGGAGTATATCATGCTAAGCAAAACAAGCCAATCCCAAAAAACCAAAGGCCAAATGTACTACGATATACAGATGATAATTCACAATAAGTGGGGAAGCTAAAGAAAAACAGAAGTACTTTGGAATAGGCAGAGGGGAGTAAAGGGAGGGGAGGAGGTATGGAGATAGAAAGGGTAGTAGAATGAATCAAGTATTATTATCCTGTGTACATATATGATTACACAACTGATATGATTCTACATCATCTACAATCAGAAGAATGGAAAGTTATACTCCATTTATATATAATGTGTCAGAATGCATTTTACTATCATGTATAACTAATTAGAATAAAAAATAAAAATAAAAAATTACTATAATTTGGAAAAGTTTCCCGAAGGCCCATGTGTTAGAGGCTTGGTTCCCAGTCCATGGTGCTACTGGTAGGTGGCGGAAACTTCAAGATGTAGGGCCTTTTGGGAAGCAGTTACGCCATTATTGGCATGCTCTTGATTTGAGGCAGCTTTTTCTCACTTTCTTTTTCTTTTCCTCACCTTTACACCTTGCCCTGAGGTGAATGTGCACATACCATTATGATGTGCTACAGCAGGCCCAAAGTAATGGGATCAACTGATCATGAACTGAAACCTCCAAAATTGCAAACCAAAACAAAACCTTTTTCTTTTTAAGTTAATTTATCTCAGGTATTTGTTATAGTAATGAAAAGCTGACTAACACAAACATATAAAGCATTTTCTATAGTACCTAGTCCTCTATGTTAATTTTATGACCATCTTGATCACTCTTACCATGTGATCCAACAATTGCACTCCTTGGTATTTACCCAAATCAGTTGAAACTATGTCTACACAAAAACCTGTATAAGGCTGTTTTAATTCAAATCCAAAATTTGGATTAAACCAAGGTGCCTTTTAATAAGTGAGTAGACAAATAAATTGTGATACTTCCATACAATAATACAATAAAATAATTTGTTATTAATATACACACACATATACACAAACACACCACCACACAAACTACCCCTTAGAGAAACCTTAAATGCATATTGCTAAGTAAAATAAGTGAATCTGAAAATGCTATATAGTATGACATTCCAGAAAAGGTCAAACTATGGAAATAGTAAAAATATCAGTGATTATAGAATCTTGGGATGGTAAAATGGGGGGAAGAGTAAGTAGAGCAGTGAAACTTTTCTGTGTGATACTGTAATGGAGGATACATGTCATGCATTTGTCAAAACCCACAGAATATATAACATAGATTGAACAATAATATAAACTATGGACTTTAGTTAATAATTGTGTATCAATATTGCCCCATGAATTGCAACAAATGTACCACACAAATCCAATATGTTGATATAGGGAAATTGAAGGGGGTGATAGGACATATGGAAATTCTGTATTTTCACCCTTTTCTGTAAATCTAAACTATGCCTGAAAATGTCTACTAATTAAAATTAAAACTAACAAATATTTTGTCTTATCATTTCTACTTGTTGTGTCACACATTTAGAAAGGCCTCTCCATTATAAAAATTTTAAAATTTTCTATTTATTTTTGTGATTTCACCTTTTTGAACTTTAATAAACTCTATTTTTTAGGACAGTTTTAGGTGTACCGAAAAATTGGAAAGATATTAAAGAGAACTACCATATATTCTATATCTAATTATCTCTATTATTAACACCTTAATTGGTATGGTAAATTTCTTACAATTAATGAACCAATGTTGATGCATTATTAACTAAAATCCATACTTTATTTGGATTTCCTTAGTTTCTATTCAATGTCCTTTTTCTGTTCTCAGATCCCATTCACTATACCATATTACATTTGTTTGTCAAATCTTCTTAGTCTTCTCTTGATTTTGACTGTTCTATTTCCTTGTTTCTGATGACCTCAATAATTTTGCCAAGTACTGGCAGGTATTCTGTAATGTCCTTTAAGTGGGAATTTGTGTGATGTTTATCTCATGATTAGACTGGGGTTATGGTTTAAAAGTCATGCTAATCTTATCTGTATCATTCCAATTTTAGTATAGGTGCTGCAAAAGTGAGCAGAGATTATGGGTTATGAGGAGGAAGACCATAAAAATAAAGTGTCATTTTTATCATATCATATATTATATCGTATCAAGATCAACATGACATCCCTTTTAATGTTGACCATGATCACGTGGCTGAGGTAGTAGTTGTCAGTTTTCTCCACTGTGTAGTTACTTTCCCTATATTACCATCCTTTTCATGCTATATTCTTCACTATAATAAAGGAAATCACTTTACTCAGACCACACTTAATGTGTTTAGAGTCGTGATCTGTTCTGTTTGAGAACAGATTATCTATGTAAGTTATATGGAATTCTGCTAAAAAGGAGATTTGGCTCTTCCTCAATTATTTATTTAAATCATTTACTTATATCAGTATAGACTTGTGAAATTTTTTATACTTTGAGTATAGTTCAACATTACTTTATTAATTTTGTTGTTCAAATTATCCCAGCTTTGGCCACTGAGAGCTCTTTCATTTGGTTTCTGTGTCCCTTTTGACACACTACCATCATTGTGGATTTATTTTTTCTTTTCAAGAACTTTTTAAAATTTTTGACATTACAAAATGCTTCAGGTTTATTTATTTACTTTCTGCCCCAGTTCTAGAATCAGCCAGTTCTTTTTATAGAGACTGGTATATTAAATACCCAAATCTGAGCACTCGTTGCTCTCATTGCTACTACGGTATTCTTGCTTCCAGGTCCTCTTAGTTGACATACAAAGAAAATATATGTGTCCCGCTTATTTTCAATACTACAACTATTGATCCATTGTATGTTTATTTAGATGTAATTGTGAAGTAGGAATTCAACTGTATTCTTCCTGTGTTGAGACTTCTATTTGTCATTCTTAAATGCCTAGCCATAGATTATTTAACTTCTTCTTCATTTTATGTTTCTATACTGGTAGAGTAGGATAATAATACTAGTTCTATTCTTCTTTCAGAGCTATACAAAGAATAAAATTTGATGAAAGTCTGAAAAGTTCAATATGAATTTAAAATACTTTACAAATATATGTATAATATTAAAAACACTGTTGCACTCTCATTAATATTTCTTTAGGGAACAAAAACCTACCTTCTTTCATTGAGACTTCTTTTGTTTGCATTACTTTTAATAAAGAGTTAGTCTTTTCCAACTGAATATCCAGGATTTTGTTCTTTCCACTGGTTTCTATCATTTTCTGTAGAAGAAATAGAGTAAACATTATTATCAAGTCAATGAAGGTGTTTCTATTCTTTTACTAAATATATGAAGACTAATGAGAATATAAATCACTACCTAAAAGTCTAACAGTTAAAGATGAAACATAATTTTAAAGAAACAAACTTCCTAGTTTATATTTAATTTAAAAAGTAACCTGATAATATATTAAACCACACTAACAATTATAAATGAAAAATAAAAGTATGGCCTAACTTGAACTCCTTTCGGCAATTCTTCAACCCTCATTTCCATAGTTAATGATTGCTAGCCAGGCATATACAAGCCTGTAGTCCCAACTATGTAGGAAGCTAAGTCAGGAAGATCTCTTGAGCATAGGAGTTTGTGGCCAACCTGGGCAACACAGTGAAATCTTGTCTCAAAAAAAAAAAAAATCCAAAATCAACAAACAAACAAAAACTGTTCCTTTTATATGCTTCCAAAGTATTTTTTGACTATATAGAACTACAGAAAATGATCATCTGTATTCTGTTCTACACCTTGACTATTCTACTTAGCACTATTATCTGGGACATGGTGCCATATTACCATGTATAGATGTACCTCATTCTTTTTACCAGCTGCACTGGGTTTCATTTTTAAATTTTTTTGTACTTTTTAATTATATATAACAATAGAAAGCATTTTGACATAATTATAAAAGCAAGGACTATATCTTGTTTTGATGCAGTCCTCAATACCTCCTTTTCCCCTCCCCCACACCACTGCTCTCTTTCCTCTACTGATCTTTCTGCCATTTAGCCACAGTTTTTTTTTAATTAATTTCTTGTGAATGTACATGATGATGAGATTCACTGTGGTAAACTCATATATGTTCATAGGTATTTTTGAATATATTATAATTTATTTACCTAGTCTCCTATGAGAAAATTTGTTATTTCTACTTTTTTTGCTATTATAGTAGATAAATATTCTTAAACCTACTGCTTTGGATTTTTGTGAACAGTATAAAAAGCCTCTACAAACTCTTTAAATAGCTTCAAATATCAATTTATGACTAGCCATATATTATCTATACTCTACCCACTTCCTTAATATTACCACTTCTGATCTTATCTCAAAGCAATTGACATGAATTCATTTGTATTACCATCTACGTGTATCTCTAAGAGACATGACTTTCAAAATATGTTCATAATACCACTATCACATCAAAAATGAACAACTATTTCTTATCAAAAATATTTAAGAATATGAGATACTTCTAAATTAATCTCCAACCTGCCCCGCCCCCCCAAAAAAACCTTTCACTAAATCTCTTCTCTCCAACAGTGCTTTCTATTTCTCTTTTGCTAATTATACAGTTAAGAAAACTTAAGCTCATTGTTTGAAAAAAGATCATATTGCCTCAAAAATCTAAGGCCATGAAAGTTCTTTAAATATGGCAATCTGTGTGAATAAAAATAGACATAAAAAATAAGAAAAGGAGAGAAAATAGGGGAAGGTCTTCCCTCCCATTCTTGCTTTACAAATTCACTCTTCAAATCTTTAGTTTATTCACCTACATTTTTTTTCAACAGTTTTCATATATCTCCCTCTGTCAGAGAAGAGGGGAAAACAATACATTGTTTGGCTTACCATTTGTCCAAAGTTGGAGAGAAGGGCTTCAAGTAGGTTTGGTTTTAGGTAAAAGAGCAGCAAGAGAGAACAGAGACAAATGGTAAAGAACTAAAGGAAAGTACTTATAACGGTAGGAGACTGAAATTTAATTCTCATTAAATCTATTTCCGAGTTTGGACATGAGTTTGGACACTTAGATGTGTATTTTATCTTTAATTTTGGCAAAAGTACACGAATTATTTGTTCCCTTGCCCTGGAAAGTTTTTGATATATTAGTATAAATGAGTCAAGACTAGATATATTTTAAATACAAATCTTAAAAATTAGAGACAAAGGGCTTGGCAAAATATATTCTCATTATCTGTATCTTGCTCATTTTTTGCAACATTTTTTTCTTTCAAATTTCTCCCATTGATAAAATCTCTTCCATTTTTCCTCATACACCATAGCCATTGGCTATATTTACATACCTTTTCTATTTGTGAGAAGTCATTTATAAGTTTGTCAAGATTCACACTGCCAGTCTTTTTCATACATCCTTCACTGCTTTGATCCATGCCTGAACTAGTGAAGAGCAGAGAGTGTTAAGAAAAATCTAAAGCATCACGATAGTAGTCATAACTCAAACACTGAAGTTTCTTTACTTTATTTATAGAATACTTACTTGAGCTTCCTTCCACTCTGAGTATTTTGTTATACCCAGCATCAATAATAGGGTCATATGCATTAAGGTTTCTCCACTTACTATCATTTTCTCCCCAGGTGTAATTTGTCTAAAAAAATCTAAAATTAGTGCAATGATAAGAATATAAATAGATGTTATTTGTCCTTATTATAAAAAAAACCCAAATAATCGCACTAACACTCATCTCCTTTGCCATCAGTATGTCTGAACTTAAAGTCAAAGGCATGACTTTTAAGTGTGAGTATTCTCAATTTAAGATGCTCAACGTGTCAAAGTATCACATCACAAATATTTTCTGGTAGTCTGCTTATACTTCATATTTTGCTTGGTATATAAAGCATATATGGAAATTGAAGTGCTCAAAACAATCTCTCTGTATTTCAATTTTTTGGTAATTTTATATAAGATTAACCTTTGGGAACAACCAACTAACTGCTGAGTGAATGGTAAGAGTTCTAGCTTTAGTCCTACAGAACTAATCATAAGAAATTCTTCAGAATTCCAGAGGTAAAGTCATTCAGCCCAGATAGAGAAACTGATTTTTTGCAAAGGAGCCAGTATTTACATTTGGCAGTGGAAGAAGGTATCTAGAAGGAATCAAGATTAATACAGTATGAAACTATATACACCTGTCTTTAGATGTCTTTAGACTTTTCTCCAGAGAAAAATGATGGGGAAAGTACAACATTTGAAATTCAGGGAGTGTAGAGTGAGGAAGGAGACAATGTTGAGTGTGTGGACTAGACTAAAGGAAAGGGTAAGTAAAACTCCTGAAATAATTACTCAAAATAATTTGGGGGGGGCATAATATTATTTAAAAATAAATATACCAAAATCAGATATTGTGTGACAATATTTTCATCAAAATTCCACTTCATCCTTCTTTTTGTATTATTTTACATTACAACTCTTTAATAGTTTTGAAATCTGAATTTTAGCTGTGCATTTTCAGTTTATTGAATTATTATCTGCAGTATCACCGGTGAGTAAAACTGTGTATGAAATTCTTTAAGTAGCTAAAACTCGATCCTTATGGCAGAAAAATAACTGTAATAGCCTTCCACGATCTAAAATTCTTCTGACAACAAAATTAAAAACTCATCACAATTTGATATCATTGTTAATTTTTAATACAACTGTAGGGTAATCTGAAATAGTTAATGCAAAATTCCTCCATATTTTTTAGTCTCTAATATTTTAAATTTTTTAAAAAATGGTTTTTACCAGAGTTTTGGCTAAGAAACTGGCTTCTGAACTAATGCATTTTACTTTGAGCTTGATGTTCTATAATTCCGTTACCCTAGTAATACTCATGAAATATTTTTCCTCACTAAATCGTCACTAAAGGTTGGGGTTAGCTGCAAAAAGGACAATAAACAAACCAACCAACAAACAAAAAGCTCCAAACAAAATCAACAACAAAATATTCCATTTGCTATTATTGCATGCTCTTCTTTTTGTCGCATTGGCGAGCAAACTAGTTCACTTCTACGTGTCTTTACTGTCCCCCCCCCCCAATTTTCCAGGTCCTGATCTTTTCAAAGAATATGGTTTTGCTCTGTAAAATCAGGTGACAACTTAGTTAGTACTAGTTAAATTCCTTCGTGGGCAGCAGAGACTGACTTTTGATCTTCAAGGACCAGCTTCAAACAGTTCCCACAGCAAAGACAATCCCATTCCCCGTCTGGCTCATTTCTGCTGGCTGGAGTCCAGGGGCTCGCTGTCTCCGGGACCCCGCTCCGTGGGCCCTGGCCGCTCCTAGTTGGCGTCAGCAGCAGGCTCCCCTCGCCTCTGCCTCTTCCTTTTTGGCCTCCCTTCACTCTCATTCCTGAAGCCTGGGGCCCATGAGCCACAGGGGTCGGGATCAAGGACCTCGGGAGCCTTATGCGGATGCAGGACAATGTGAGAAGGTGTGAAGAAAAGAATCTTCTTGGAAAAAAGCGGAATTTCGAGCCGCTTACTGAGTTTGGAGCTACTCACCGTCGCTGCAGGCTCCTCAAAGTCCGCCTCGAGGACTGCCTTCTCCGGTTCCTAGTCCATCCCTGACTTGGGCCCCCTCCCTCGGAAACAGGTTCCCGAAACAATGGGCCCGCCCTTCTCCTGGCCCCCTCTGTGCCCTATTCTGGCCTTCCCACCACCAGCTGTCTTTACCAACCTGGTCTTAGCTCTCCTACTGCTTCTTAGGTATTTTCATGTGGTTTCTAGAACATGGATCCAAACTCGGAGAATGCCAGATTAATAACTGCTTCCCCGACCAAAGAATAAATCATACCTGTTTTGATTTTTGAGTTAACATCATTGAATAACAAATAATCTGTATTTATTTTTGTGTGTTTTATACAGTAGGCTTTTAAAGTATCAAAGTCAGTCAATAGATATGGTTTCCCACCTAGAGTATTGTCTTTGTGGTTGAGTGATTAAGGACATGGGCTCTTATTCATATACAAGCGCAAACTCTTCTATTTACTAATGGTTCATCTTGGGCAAGTGCTTAATTCTACATGCCTCAGTTTCTTTATTTATGATACAGATAAATAACAAGGATGTTGTGATAATTAAATGAAATGATGCATTTAAGAGTGTGCTTAATAGAGTTACTACCTTAAAATGTTCAAAAATGTTATAATTTTAAATATTGTTCAATAAAGTGTTCAAAAATGTTATTATAATTTGTTCAATAATAGTTAGAAAGTGTAATGCCTACTTTTGTTTGAGTGAGAAATGTGAGATTTATTAATTTTATTTTTCTATGGAATTCAAAAATTGGTGGGCAGAAAAATGTAAAGTGTAATAGAATAATTCATACTTTATTATTTGAAGGATACTATAGCATAAAGATAAGAGAACTGGAACCAACTGAGAAATGTGGGGTAAGATCCTCACTCTGCTGCTGGATTAAGAGTTCTTTGACATTAGTAACAACACATAAGGATTTTGAAAATAAGTGGACATCTAATTGCTGGTTCTATCAAATTAGCATACATAAAATGTTCCTTATGGCAACTATCACAATAGTTTTGGAAAGAGGCTTACTCTCATTTTCATGAATATTTACTTAAATAATGTTATAAATAGGGAAAAATATGTACAAGGTAAAATATAAATTAGAAGTGGAATTAAAGATCAGGAGAGATTATAAAACACAAATATTAAAACCCATCTCAAATGCTTTCTTTTCTATGATCATATCTATCAGTAGTGACCTGACTTTCTTAACTCCAGGGCATTGCCAGTCTTTTTGTGGCATTGTTTGAGTTGATGTATGATTACTTCTACTGTATTATTGTCTCCTTGGGGAAAAAAAAAATCTCCATTTTCTTATTATATACGTATTTCTCGCTGGTGTCTAACATAGGCAGAAGAAATAGAAGTAAAACAAATCATAAAAGTTCAACTTGATTTTTCTGGTTTGGAATGAATCACCAATTTCTCTATCATTTTATGACATTAGCATTTCCCCCCAAGAATCCTAGCAGGCTATGAAGATATCTGTTAATAAGAAACTAAATGAGCTACCCAGGAATTCATCTTTAAGAAGGGAGTACCTTTCACAATTGTATTCATAATTTTATTCCCCAAAAACTATCCAAGAGAGAAAAATAATTCATCAAATATTTGGTTAGAAAATAGTCATTTTCCGATTCATCAAGGATTCATTATTATTTAATTAGAAATGACCTTGAAAACCATAAAGAGAAACAAATTACAATATTATGTCATACTAACAAGGAAGGTAATATTGGAATTTATTAAAAATACCTTGAGTTGGAAAAGAAACATGCACTTAAGCAATTGTAAAATAAAGGAAGCTATGTCTTTATGCATATAAGGATTATAAAGTGAGTGATACATTGATTTTTTTAAAGTTACAAATAACTTCATTTATTAATCCATCATAAAATATTTAAGTCTCATGAGTTACCAGCTACTGATGGTCTAGGCAGTAATGAAAGCAAAACAAATAAAATTCTCTAGTGTTTTGGAGCTTAGTCTCATAGGAGAAAATAGCAGAAGACTGAAGTCTAGTATTGGCAATATAGCTTTGGCATTCACCATGTTTGGTTTCCATTGCCAGTCTTCTATGAAAACAAAATGTGATGGCATTGCTCCCATATCATGGCAAGTATTTGGAAGTGTCTCAACTTGTCTGAGTTTCCTGTTCAAGCAGTAGTAGTCAACTCAGTTCTCCCACTATTTTTACCTCTGTTCAGGGCATGCGTTTTGTCTGCCTACTCAAATTTGCCAATTACTAAAATTCTAGCTCAATCTCATTTCCACAAGTATTGTTTATAAAGTGTCACAAATAGGGAGAATTCTGTGCAAGCTTAAATGTCAATTAGAAATGTGAGTAAAGACCAGGAGAGATTATAAAACATAAACACACTGGTCTGTAGTTAATAAAGTTGTTATATGCATGTCACAAATTTGGCTTTTTAGTGCTGACCAGAATTTAAAACTAAAAAATCAATTTCGTTTCAAAATTTATTTATTTATTTTAATCAGGTATATATGACAACAAAATGCATTTTGATTCATTGTACACAATTGCAGCACAACTTCTCATTTCTCTGTACGCAATGTAGTGTCACACCATATGTACAGTCATACATGTACCTAGGGAAATAATATCCATCGCATTCCACCGTCTTTCTTGCCACAATACCCCCTCTCCTCCCATCCTCCCCCTTTGCCCAATCAAAGTTCCTCCATTTTTCCCATAACCCTCCCCCCACCATTATGGATCAGCATTCACTTCCCAGAGAGAACATTCAGCCTTTGATTTGGGGAGATTGGCTTACTTAGCTTAGCACGCTAGTCTATAACTCCTTTCATTTACCTGAAAATGCCATGATTTTATTCTCTTTTAATGCT